TCCACGCGGCTATTTATAAGCCTTTGTGTCTTTTTAGGAACAGCGTGGGTTTGCTTTTTCACCGGTGACTCACTGAGTGGGAGGAAGAGGAGGAAGAAGGGGGGGGGGCGGAAAGGAGGTGAATGGGGGGGGTGGTAAGAAGTGCAGATGGATTCCAGAGCTAAGAATCCAGCCGAGCAATCAATAACATTTACGTGTGCCTATTGGGGCTGTGGGAGTCCTTCCTCCCCAAACGTCACGCAGAGTCTTCCTGGATCGCGTTTCCTCGCTCTGACTCGCGTTTCCTCTCGTGTTTCGTTGCTGAATGAAAACTGAATGACTTCTGAAACTGCAGAGAGGATCTACAAGCACTGTTCCTTAGAGAAAAGTCGGTATTTATGCTTTGACTATTCGTAATCAACCTGTGAATGAGCTGAATTAGAAAAATGGAGTGGGTCCTAACACATAGATCCTATAAATACGTGACAACTTACATCCATTCATGAGTATATTTCTGTCTAAAAACTTCACATTCAAGTCCATTCGAAGTCCAAAGTGTTCATTTCTTCTCATAATTAGGACTTTTTAATGCTAAAGAAACCAAAGAATCAGCTTAAAAAGCTGCTAGTGTCGCTGTATCTGGGTTTCTTTCCCAGAAAAAGACACTGGTTCTGAATGACTTCTGAAACTGCAGAGGGGATCTACAAGCACTGTTCCTTAGAGAAAAGTCGGTATTTATGCTTTGACTATTCGTAATCAACCTGTGAATGTGCTGAATTAGAAAAATGGAGTGGGTCCTAACTCATAGATCCCATAAATACGTGAAAACTTACGTCCATTCATGTATTTTAGCCCTAACAATAAGGATGTTTCTGCCTAAACACCTCACATTCAAGTCCATTCGAAGCCCAAAGTGTTCATCTCTCCGCATAATTAGGACTTTTTAATGCTAAAGATACCAAAGACACAGCTTAAAAAGCTGCTAGTGTCGCTGTATCTGGGTTTCTTACCCAGAAAAAGACACTGGTTCTGAATGACTTCTGAAACTGCAGAGAGGATCTACAAGCACTGTTCCTTAGAGAGAAGTCGGTATTTATGCTTTGACTATTCGTAATCAACCTGTGAATGTGCTGAATTAGAAAAATGGAACAGATCCTAACTCAGAGATCCTACAAATATGTGAAAACTTACGTCCATTCATGTATTTTAGCCCTAACAATAAGGAT